CAAATCTAAACGCCTCTTTTCGACTAAGCCAACTGTAGGTAACACGAAGTTTTGGATTGTGGAGTGACTGACTCGCCATAACACCTGATTTCATTTGGTGGTGACTGTGAGATGGAACAGTAAACCCGAAACATCCCTAGATTTAAAGAGAAAATAATAAAGTGAGAAATGAGGAATGCATTAAATAACAGGAACATTCAGCAAAAACAAGTGAAATATGGAACCCTCCTCAATACCAAGCCCAGACACAATGAGGACATATTGAATAAATTTATATTAGACATAATTCGTGAAGACCCAAGACTATTTAAAAAGTACATCATCCTGCAAAGAGAAACAAATTTAATAAAGAAAGAACATCTAATAAATGAGCTAATAGATGAACTTATAGGAGCGGAAAAGTTGCTGATAGATAATCCTGCAAAAAAGAGACCACCGGAAAGGCTAATCAGAAAGCCTAATAACTATATTAAGCACAAAAGTGAAGAAGTGAATATTTTGTACTTACCACCATATATAAATATTAGCTCTGGTTCAACCTTATGAAGGAAAGAGCCCAAAAGAAATAGAGATAGAAAAATAATGGTGTCCAAAGTGCTTGATGCCTACTACGACCCTGACGAATTCACAGAAGAACCTCTTGATAGTGATGTCTTCGACTCTGGGGAAGGAAAAGCCGACTTAGATCTCCTTCTCCAACAGCTAATTACTGAATGTAAAGCTCTCACACGAAAGTGGGCTCTGAAAGAAGCCATCCAAAAACTTGTGCAGAAAAACGACTTGGCCAAAAATGTCGAAACTGATGATGATAATGACAGCAACAATAACAGAAACGATGATGGAATCGGAGTCAAAAAGAATGAATATAAAGCCTCCGAATACTGTCAAAAATCTACAGAAATGAGAAATGCCAATGGAACATGCTCTGTTGGATATTGTTATAAAAATGGGATTAGGGTCCAAAAAGATAACCGAATTGGTGTTAAGAAAAATAAACAAAATGCATATGAATTGGATCAAGAGAAGAAAAAAGACAATCTACCTGTCAGACTTGAAGAAGCCGAAAATGTTGAAACCAATGATGATAACGATGACAATAATAGCGAAAACGACAATGGAATCAGAGTTGAAAAGGATGAACTTAAAGCCTTCGACTACTATCAAAAATCTACAGAAATAGAGAATGCTGATGGGACGTACTACATTGGATCTTGTTATAAAAATGTAATTGAAGTTGAAAAGGTTAGCTGTCAAGCATTTGATGACTATGATGATGACGACGATGATAATGACACGATATGTGATGCAGATGACAATGGAACAGGAATTGGGGATGAAAAAGCCAAACGTAAAGCATTCGAATATTTTCAGAATGCCGTTGAAAATAAGAATTCTGATGCACAAATTCGTCAAATCTTCATGGTAGAAAACTTGGCTGAAGCCTGTGAAGATTGGAATCGAAGGGTTGATGGGTTCAAAAGATTGATCCAAGAAGGCCCAAAAGCAATAAAAGAACCCATCAAAGCTGAAGAAGATGCGATGAATATTAGTAAATGGTGTCATCAAACATCTGCGAAGTCTGGTGATGCCAATGGAATGTTTAAGGCTAAAGGACTTGATGAACATGGAGTTGGAGCTAAAGAAAACAAAGCAAGTGGATGGTGTTTAAAGCAAGTGGAAGGTGGTAATGATACTGGATGATTCGGCCTTGGTGGAAAAGAAGAAAAATTATGGGAATCAGAAAAACAGAAGGCAGGCGAAGATAGTCAGAAAGAATTAGGTAAACCTACCTCTCAGGAGAAGCTAACGCCAAAAGAACCCGAACTAATACTATTAGAAAGGAAACTATTACCAGAAAAAGAAGCCAATGGAGTTGAAACAATGCCGATCGAACCAGAGCCGCCGCCAAAGAAGGAAGACAATGACATCAGCATGTATATGCGTGGTACGCATACACTAAGTGGGGGAGAAATATTATCCGGCTAAGCCACATAACACAGCTACTCCAAATTAGGGTGACCTGGCCCACTTAGTCTATTTCGGCTATGTAGGCTACTTTGGCTACGTAGGCTATGAATGCCATGACGGGTAAGTATGAGTTGGAAACGAAGTAGTAGAATTAGTGAACGTATTAGACGTAGTAGTTGTAGCAGACGTAGAATAGCAAATGTAAATAAAGAATTCTAAGATAAATAAAGGCTGTAAAGGCTCTAGAGAAGAAAAAAGGAAGTCCTTTGCATTATTAGAATAATACCTGGCCCTTACATAATAATAAATACATGAATGTCTCCCTTGCTACATTAACTAATCACTAAATTCCCAGACCATAAAACCCGCTTCTTGCATTTAGCTGTTCTAACCTAAAAATATTGTTACTCTCCCCCATCTGGCTGTTGTATCTTAAAGTACCAGGATTAGCCATGGTAGTATCGTTCCACTATCCTGAAGGACTGAGGATAGTGTGGTTATATGTGTCATCCAATTACCCAATGTAGTGAGGTAATTGAGGAATAGAGTTAGTAAGTTCAAGAGAAGGAAAACACAAGACAAGTAACGAAGAAATACGTACCTACGTACCCAAATCACTGACCAAATCTAAACGCCTCTTTTCGACTAAGCCAACCATAGGTAACACGAAGTTTTGGATTGTGGAGTGACTAACTCGCCGTAATGCCTGATTTCACTATGCATTAAGAAATTTAAGTTTTTGTATAATACATATTAATTTAAACTTTTTGTTTACATATTTTTTTTTTTTTTTTAAAGTGACCTTTTTGGTTTTTTGACTTTTATTAATTACTTCTAAACATTGTGGTTCAATGAACCACTACAAGAAAGAGTACAATTGACTACATGTATAACTTTGTTTATATATTTTAACTTCTTGTATTATCAGTACAATTTATAAAATTTTTGCTAACTATTAAACTTTAAACTTCTTTGTTACATTATCAATTCATAACAAATCTTATTATTATGACAAAATGACAATAATTTTATCTATAGTAAATTTATATATTTATGCATTATGTATTATACCAAATATAACAAATCTCAATTCTTATTAATATAACAAAATAACAATTATATATATTATTTATAGTAAATGTATTATTATTTTTTTTTTTTTTATAACATATAAGCAGTCACGCTAGTACTTTATTAGGTTTTTGAAATTACATTTGTAACTACATAAATATCTCTAATAT